AATCATTGTTAAGTATCACTACATGAATTCTACTGATGTTAAAACTAAAAATTAACGTTCTGTCAAAGGTAACAGCTTCTTTTTCCCACCTCCCCATTTCTCTGAGCCCTTCAAAGTAGCTTTGTCTTCCTCACCATCACCCCAGACTGGGCTCTCATAGATTTCTACAATTCACAGCTCATTCAAGTACTTGTGCTGAGCCTCGTGTAAGGACCCAGTTTCCCTGATCATTAAATGCACTGCACAGCACAGGGACAGATGAATGACAACTGAAACAACATCCACACTTCTCATGTGAGCACCCACACTCTAACTGCTCCCTGTCAAAGAGGAAACTTTCAAAACACATTCCTGACCAGACCACAGAGGATTGTCAGTGTGCACTAAGTTGGTTTAGGAGCCTGAGGAAGGGGAGAAAATGACACATTTTGCTGTTTATTTCCAAAACACAGGATTTAACAGAGTCCAAAGCTTTGTGAATATAAGCGGTGTTGTTGCTGCTGACAATTGTCAATCTACTCTGTGTTGTGGAAAGGTGGCATTCATTTTAAGGGTATAATGTATGCCATATAGTGCATGCATTAGACACATATTTGTAGAGGATGTAATCAAGAAATAATTCTCCTAATAATTTTGTTCAGTGGGGCATAGCTATGTGATTTATATACATGGGAGAAAGAAACAATTAATGCAGCCCTTCCAACAGAAGGAAGAGTATAATTTTCCCTACTTTGGAACAGAACTCAAACTTGTTTTTTTAAAAACTAAATTTCATGTTCCATGAGATGAAACTGAAACATGAAAAAATTTGCAGCTTTCTCAGCAGCATGTGTCCCTAAAATGAAACTAATTTCTTACACCAGTGCAAAAACCTTTCAGTTTCTAATAAGAGAAGGGACACATTTTCCTGTGAAAGGAGGGAATCCAGCTACTCCTTTTAAGAGTGGAAATTTCTGTTGCTGTCCCATGTTGTGAGCAAGTAGCCTCTCCACTCCCACCACTCTTGCAGTGCCTCTCCTTGCTGTGCAGGAGCTGCAGGGCTGTGTGCCCATGTCCAGTCCAGCTCTAACACACTGGGATGCTGCACATGAAACTGAACCTGGCAGTGAGTTTTAGGGCTGCCAAAAATACAGCGATTGGCAAATTCTGTAAGAAGAGAGACTAGGTCCCAAGCAGATCAGAGCAATATTTTTGCTATTGAAAGAGGTGTGAAGAATTTTCTTACAGGACTGAATTTGACTGGGAAGATGTACATGCCACTCTCCAGCAGATAGCAGCTGAAGTGTGACATCATGCAGCCACTGCAGAAGGTCAACCAAATTCTTGCTCCTCAGCTGTTGTTTCTGGCAAACAGGTTCTATGAATAATTGTAGGGGAATTTTTTGAAGGGGGTGAAGGTGGTGTTTAAGCTGCCAGGAATTTACATTGCTCTGTGAGCAAGACCTCAGCCTCAAGTGAGGTAATGACCACATTCAAAACCATGACCATGTTTGCGTAGATAAACCCGGAGTTATGACTTCATCTCACCCATCAGAGGTTTCTGTGTCCTGTGTGCCTGTGCTTTTTCAGTTTAAGAGTTATCTGACTTCTGAAGGGGTGTTGTAATAACCAGGGACCTATTTCAGACCTTGAACAAAGCTAGGAACTGCTTACAAAAGGAATGAAATCTCAAATATTCCTGTGAACAGTTGGACCTCCCTCTCCTCTCCTCTCCTTACAGGGGAGACAACTTTTAATTATAAACAGAAAAATTTTATGGTTATTTGACAGATAACCAATTCCATAAACTCATTGGTTTTAATCATAAAGAGAAAGCATTCCTTAAAAACAAACTTTAAATGGCTGTTCAGGACAAACTGTGTTTATATGGGACAGTTAGCGCTATAGTAATGCACCACCAGCAACTGCAGTATAACTAACTAAAGCAACATACCGGCACATGATTAACAACTTTCTTCCAATGAACTATGAGCAGCACCTTATTTTGGAATCTTTGTGTTCTAGGAATTAAGGTTAGGGTGCAGAGCAGCAGAACTCAGATAAATGATAACCATAGCTGGGAAAAGGCACAGTAAACAGAACTGTGAGCAAACACTGTAGACTGAAGTAGGAAGAGCAAAGCACTCCTCTGCACACACCACTTTGCAAACAGGTGCTGGTTCATGCCACAATAGATAATAGTTCATCCAGAAGCTAATTTGGTGAAAAGGTACTTCCAAGTTTTTACATATTAATAGTGAACCCTCAGTAGTAAACATGTTTCCATTTAGATAGCTGGGGTGTTTCCTAGGTGTGGTCAGAGAGGGGGTTGTTGGGATTTTTTACCTTCTGCTTGCAGTTCTGAATTGTATCCAGTTAGTGTACTACTTACAGCTCAGAACTGTGATTCCTTAATGTTTTTGTCAGGAGGGAAAAGTGTACGGGAAACTTACCAGTCACATGCTGACAGATACACGGTATGACATGGGACTGCAGTGTGTGTTTAAAAACATTAAAACTCTCACACACAATAGTCTAATATATAACATCACTTTAAAAGGATCTTTGAAAAGAAGTGTGCAGTATTTCAAGCTCACATTCTTACCAGTGCAGCATTTAATCTTCTAACTAAGTATGTACTTATTACACTTTCCTTCTTTGGAGGGTTGATTTTACATATTAAAGACGCTTCTACCAATCCTTGAGAGTTTTGCAGTAAATCTCATTTGTGTGGGGAGGGCAGGAGAGCCTGAGCAGTTTCTGAGGTGGCTGAGACCTCTAGTGCCCAGTCCTTTCATTGCATGGCTGATGTTTTTCTCCTGTTCTCGCACACTCAAACAAACATAAGAAATTGCTCGTGTTCCTGATGAAGTGGTAACTGCTGAATTGATTGGATAACTCATCCCTTTCAGTTTCTGCCTGTTCATGTTCCTACTGAGGAAGAAAAGAATGATCCAATTCTTTTTGCCAACAGAGTCAGACAAACCATGGCAAAGTAAGTAACTGATCATCAATAAAACCTGAGAACTGTTCTTTTATTTTTATTAGCAATTCCACATATAGCCTAACCATAAAGTACAATTTGATCAAGTCCTGGGTACTATACATAGGAATTGCTCTAGATTTTCACTAAGAGGTGTCAAAATCCTGTACTAGATTACCCTGATTGCTTTCACATGGAACATAAAAAAGGTATACATTGGAACACAGTATGTTCAATTCATAGAACATTTGAATAAATGATCTCTCCTTGCTTGGCAAGGAGAATGGGTGGTGGTTTGTTCTCCAGCATTACTGGGCTGCATTTACAAGACTGTAAATCTTAAAACCTCATGGTGCTGCCATAACATAGTTTCATGGTGTGGTTTCACAGTTTCATGAAATGGTGTATATTGCTTTGTCTAATTGCAGCAGTGCAAGAATGAATTACCATTTGTTTCACATATCAGAGAAGGGAAATCGTCTACAAAAAGTTATTTTCATATATAAGAAATTTATTTTGCTTTTCCTTAATTTTATTTCAGTGCTTTGAATGTGCCAGTCACTGATCACACTTTTGAAGATTGCAGGCTGATGATTTCAGCAGGGCAGTTGACTTTACCCATGGAAGCTGGGCTGGTGGAGTTCACCAAAATTAGCAAGAAACTCAAGTAAGGGAAGTTTTAGTAGTAGAAGTTTATGGTAGCATAATTACTAAAGTGCTGCAGGTATTGATGGCCATCTGCCAAAGGTTAAATAACCAGACTACAGACTTGGCCATGTGTAACATAGTGTATTTAAGCATACAATTTACATAAATTACTGGGAAATCAGAGATGAGGAAAATCCCAGTAAGGACTAATCCCGAGTAATTTTTGTAACCAGCATTGCCAGACAAAAGATTGTTCTCACCAAAGGGTGAAAAAAGTAGAGCAGTAGTCCATGGTAATCTTGGTGGAAATTTAAATTGCTTTAGTGGTGAGGTACTGGCAGCTTATGGCAGGAAGTAAAAAACCTTCTTTCCAGCCTGAAACTTCAGCTTACTGTTCTTAGTTTTACTGTGCAGCCATGTGTCACTAGTGATGTCAGTTTTTTCTGTCTAGATACAGTGGAATTTGAGAACTGAGCCATGTAACCATACTCCATCAAATAACCTGGCATGGCTGTGGTGAAATCTGAATGTGTCCAATAAATCTTGACTTATTGTTAAGTGCTATATATCCATTTATAGAATTCCATCTGGAACAGTTACATGGCAATCCTAATTATTCTTACTGAGGTGCAGTGGTGTATTGTGCAGAGATCTGGCAGTTCTGAGGCTCTGGCAATACTGGTGTTTGGGTAGAGATCTTGCTAACAGAGCTGAGACCTGCTCTCTCTGTCAAGGAAATACTTAGCCTAGAGCATGATACAGCAAAATACTGCTACACTTGAATTTATGGTAATGAAAAGCTCTCTGCTGGAGCATCCTAGTAATTGGACAGACAATTCTAGGTTTGGGAAGTTATTCTGTGTAAGTCTGACATACCCAAGCATAGAACTGCCTGATTTTAATATTAATAACCAGAGAGGAGCAGTCCTTAATTACTGATTTAAAGTAAAATATCTGGTCTGAAGTACAGCATTAGAAATGCTGTACACACATGCCCTGTTTGGCAGTTTTTCATCTTTGAGCACTGTAATAACTCCTACTAAAATTCCATCTGTCCGAGAACTGCTGTATAGAAATATCTCCTCTCCCTCATGTTTGCATAGCCTAAAATGGAATCATATCAGAGAGCAGTTGGATACTTTTGCTGCTATTGCAAGTGCTTCCAAAGGGGGAAGAATTGGAATTGAGGAGTTTGCTGAGTACTTGAAGCTACCTATTTCAGATGTCCTCAAAGAGCTGTTTCTACTTTTTGACAGGGTGAGTAATTGGTTAACTGACTTTTTGACAATATTTTGTTAGAAATCATGTCCCAAAAGGATATTTATTATAATTCATTATGTCCAGCTTAATAAATGCTTCTTGGTTAACAGTTTCTGTAAGCAAGGTAGGTGACTCTTACAGTTTTTTTCATAAGTTTCAGTGGAGAAAATATTCATTAGTTTCTGCCTTGTGAGAGATGGCAGCCATCCCTTGGACCAAGTTGCTGCACCAGTATCAGACAATAATCTTCATGCTGGTAGTAGCTGAATATTTTCTTGGGCCAACTGCAGATTTTGATCTTATGTACATTTTGATAGCTTAGTTAGCTGTTGTAATTAATTAGATAATTTAAGGCAGAGTGAAGCTAACTGGAGTGTTAACTGGAACACTGGAGTGTTCCTGCTGTGCTTGTGAAGGGTGCTGTTAGATTTTACAGGGACTCCTCTTGCTTCTCTCCACCAGGAAAGGAGGTTGTGTGTTAACATGATCACTTAGGCTTTACCCCTACTCAGTGCTAATCTCTCCAATTTCCTACTTCTCTCTGAGAATGACAAAAATGGCTGCATTTCTGTCTATACCGAAAGCATCAATGACTAGAGCAGAGATAGAATTAATCTTACTTCTAGGCCTCCACATGTGCTCCAGTGCACACCGCCTGTTGTCCTGCAAGTGCCTGTGGACTGGAGGTTTTCTCTTACCGTAAGAGCTTTCCCAACTCACCATCACTCTTCCTGATCAGTTAGCCTTAGCAGTACACCTGTCCTTGGGAGGCCATGGTATATGCTCATTAAAACTGTTTCAGGATTTTTCCACATAAAAGTTTTTACAAGCTCTAAAAGAGTCAGATGTATTTCCTGAACTGCTGAATGCCTTGAAGCTCTAGCAGTCCTAGGTACATCAGGCCTTTGTCATTCTTGCCTCCTCATCTTGGACCATTGGCTCCTGAGGCATGTAGTCTGAGTCCTGAAGCACAGTACCTGCATCAGAAATGTGCAGTGGCAACCAGAGTAATTAAGGGCAATCATACTCTTTCACTTTCTTTATATGGTGCAACATCAGTGACCAGAACTAACAAAGTAATTCTCAATTCTCTAAAATTCTGAGGGAATAAAAGATTATGACAACAAAGAAGTGCAAGGCTGCATTCACCTTTAAGGAGATGAGCACAACTGAGGAACAATCATGCTCATCTAACAGGGCTGGTTTCAAATTGCTTCAGATATGAGCACAAGCATTCTGAGACTTCTGCTTTGTGGGTTTCAACCTCATTATTTTTTTCTCTAAAATGATTTCTCAAATCACATAAACATAACAATGCAAAGAAGAAAAGAAATAGGGGCGTATCAACACCTGACAGAAACTAGTGAGACGTAACTGGGAGCCAGAAACATGCACAGACATGGTGAAGTCTAAGCATGCAGATAAGCTGTGTTTTGCCCACACCCACGTCAGACACAAAACAGCTTCAGAGAGCTACAGAACACTGGATCTCCACGTAACTCACTTCAGAAAATCTTCACAATGTTCCTTGCTAAAGCTTTGCTGAGTGGAGCAAGTGGAGGAAGTAGTAGTAGTCGTGGAGGAAGCCTTGCACGTGGCCTTGGAGGGCTCCTGACAGGAGGTGGAGGTGCAGGGAATATTGGAGGACTTGTTGGAGGTCTCGTCAACCTTATAAGTGAAGCGGCAGCTCAGTATAATCCAGAGCCACCTCCGCCTCCTCGCAATCATTTTACAAATGTGGAAGCTCAGGAGAGTGATGAGATCAGACAATTTCGTCGCCTGTTTGCCCAGCTGGCTGGAGATGATATGGAAGTGTGTGCCACCGAGCTAAGGGACATCCTGAACAAAGTCCTTTCCAGACACCAAGACCTGAAGGCGGATGGCTTCAGCTTGGACACCTGCCGTAGCATGGTCGCCGTCATGGACAGCGACACAAGTGGCAAGCTGGGCTTTGAGGAGTTCAAGTACCTGTGGAACAACATCAAGAAGTGGCAGTATGTGTACAAGCAGTTCGATGCTGGCCAGTCAGGCACTGTTGGGAGAGCCCAGCTGCCCAGCGCCCTGAGGGCTGCGGGGTTCCAGCTGAACGAGCAGCTGTGCCGGGTGGTCGTGCGCAGGTACGCCGCCGAGGACGGCAGCATGGATTTCAACAGCTTCATCAGCTGCCTGGTGCGCCTGGACAGCATGTTCCGGGCCTTCAAGTCCCTGGACCAAGATGGAAGTGGGCACGTCAGAGTGACCATTGAGGACTGGCTGCAGCTGACCATGTATTCTTGAAGTGTTTGTGTGGCAGATACACCTGGAGGACCACACTGCTCTGCTGCACAGCTGTGGTCTTGGCCTTTAGTCTTTCTAAGGCAGATGTAGATAGCAGTAGATGGCTCAGCTTCCAGTGTAGTGATTCTTCTTGTGCATGCATTAGTCTGCTTTTCTGAGGGGTTTGTGTAGGTTGTTGATCGGGCAGTTGCATAAGTTCAGAAAATCCTAGATTCTAAGGTTAGGGAATATATTGGAAAGATCAGAGCTTAGTTAGTTTTTCATGTAAAGTGGCTTGTATATGAGTATAACTATTACATAAAAAAGCTGCTAAGTTTGGTGCTGATGTTGCTGTTCTGGTTTGTCAGCAGTCACTAAGCTGGAATAAAGGCTGTTTGCCTGAAGGCAGTCACTAGTAGACTCTTGTGCAGTTATTTCTAACAAGGGGAACATTAGAGTTGCAATAACTGTAGTGATCAGTGAACTTACATAATCATTCCATTTCCTTTCTACTTCTGCTTTTTCATGCTTGGCTGCTGAAGCAAAACCTCAGTTTTACTGTCAGTTCTATCTGGTGGCCAGGACAAAATTGAAGACTTACATGAGGCTACTTCTGCAATGATCTCCTTCCTACAGTTCCATGAACTAGTCTTTTCTCTCTTTCCTTCAAGCCTGAACATAGTTATGAAGCAAACAACTTAAAATACTACATTTATATTTAGAGAAACTTGAAATAATTATGCAGTCACATAGCAGACAGAGAGCCAAAGTCAACCTTTGGCTATCTGAGTGAAATTTCATCAGCGTGCAGCATCCCACTCAAGGTAGTTATGCAGTAATGGCTAAGATGTCAACTTCTGAGTAAAAAAATAAAAGGAATAACATGAACTGTCAAAAGTGCCTTTCCTTGAATTAAGGATTACATTGTTGACAAAAACGGCTCTTGCACAAAACAGATTTCTTGGCAAGGCTCTGCTGCTTTAAACGAAAATTGTCTTGGGTGTGTGGGAGCTGGCTGGAATGTGAAAAGAGGAGTTAAATTGGCAGCCTGGCACTAGAGGCAGTCTCCAGATGTGACTCATAGAGGAATACCACACAATACCTGCAGGCCATCTACATGTTAATGGGGTGCTGTGGTGTAGTTTGGTTTGGTCTGTAACTTTCCATAGCTTCGATTTCTAAATCTTGCACTTACACTTTGCAAACAGTATTTTTCAAATTGATGAGCTATCCTCCCTGGTATACTTGCAGAAACCTTTTACTTGAAACTAACTTATAATTTGTGCCCAGATTTTTTTCCTCCTGCACTTTGTTTAATAGCAAACAGAAAAATATTCATACTATCCCAGATAAAAGAGGCCAGTTCCTTCCTCATGGCATTCAGCCTCCTCCCAGTTCTTCAGTGGAAAAGCACTCAGTTATCCATTATGCCATGTAGTGCCATTTGGGCTCTGAGTAACTGGAAAGTGAGCAGGAGGTAAAGTGATAACCTCCTCTAAAGTATTGATGCAGTAGTACTTTAAGCTTTATACTGCATCTGGCTTGCAGTCCCTGTGCAAATCTAAATATACTATGGTAGTGCAACTTTCTTGTTTTCCAAAGTCTAAGATTTAGTGTATTATATAAGAAAACAACAATAAAACCCCAGTTACCACAGCATGCTATAGGGAAAATAGTAGCAGAAAGTTGGCTTCCTTAAGGAAAACAAGAGTTGTTAAGGTTACATTATGTTTTTGATTGTGTAGCATAACTGCAAATATTATTTGTAGCATATTTGTAGCATAACCAAATTCTGTTTTACCATTTAGAGAACTGGAGCTTAGCTCACACATTGCTTCCTTAAAATATTCTTGGATACATAGGCTGCAAACACAGTTAGGTATGCATGGAAAGACAATTGCAAGTGCTTTTTGCTGTGGTGTTACACAAGCACTTCAAGTTTTCCTGTATTTTCAGTTTAACTTCCATTTCTTTTCCCAGGCAGCAACCCCATCATTTCTCCTTAACCAGAATGCCAGAGCATTTGGAAGTTAGCCAGCATCCTAGAGTTTTGTAGAACTAGTCACAACATGATCTTGCAAGCATAGTAACTTTATTTTCTACTGAAATGGCTGGGGTTCTTTCTATCAGACTGCACTCAGTTTTGATTACTGAGTTTTCACACTTTAACGAAAATAATATGACCTTTATTTTGTCTTTTTTCTTGTCATATTTCCATGTGCCACAACTGTGTTAACTTCTTTCAGAAGTTGTTGTTTTTCATTAAATTATTTTAAAGTTTACTTCCCAATTCTTTTACTGTGATAAATATTCTTAACTTTGAAAATAAATTTTCAAAATATTCTAATCACTTCAAACAATCCTTTTCTAAGAATACAGTCTGCAAAACTATCCAAAAATAATATTCTCTGGAACTTTGAACAGTTATTATCTGCACTCTTGCTTCAGTTGTTTTTAGACTTTATGTTTGTAATGCTACGCTTTAAAACTAGGTCTGAGAATGACAATGTGAAGAAAATGCTGAAAGTCAAACTCTGCATCACAATGAGAACACAGATTTGCAAATAAAACAATGTGTATGAGACAACTTTGTCCTTTTCTAATGATTAAAAACTGACAAAAGTTATAACCCTTAGACATCCATGAAAGTAACTTAAAAGTTCATATCTTATTCATATCTTTGCTCAAAAGTTTACCTGAAATTCACAGGTTTCTGAAGTACAAGATGTTCAAAGTCAATCAAAAGATCAATCAAAAGGATCAGTTAGACCATCAATATAAATAATACAGCAGTTGTCTATGCAAAAGAGACCTGCATTGGTTTTGAATGCTAAATAAAATTATATCTTAGAAGATTTAAATCCTGCAAAATGTATAGCTTGATGATGAGAGGTTAATAATACTGATTTCATTATATTATTACACATATTTTGTTAATCAAGAACTGTCTCAAAATCTAAATTCAATTGCTAAAATCCCTGTTTCATAGCACCCAAAATTTTCAAACCACTCTACAGAGCAGCCTTAGTATTCTCCCCTGACATATTGCACTGTTCAGCAGCAGAAGACCAAGAGCAGAAAGGTTTAGGTTGGTATGCTCAAGGGGACATTAGAAGTTGGTAGGAGAGCCGGAAATAGAATCTGGTCTGGTCCTTTGCTGCAGATTTACCCAGCTGACCACCCCTCTCTCACTTGGCTGAAAAAGTTTTGTGTTGCTCTCATACATACTTCTTAAGAAAATGTTTTTCTTGTTGAAATGCAAAACACTTCATCCACAAAGGGAACTTTGCTTTACACTTCAGTTTGCTTTTAAAATGTTTTTGATGAATGCCGTTACTGTGAATTCAAAACAATGTATTCTTGTCTATTTGTCATCTCTGTTATGCTGTCATTACCTGCTCTGTGTCCCACCATCTAAGGTTTGCAGATGGCTTTTGCCCAGACAGATGTTTCCCAAAACACTCAAGAAACTTCCAGTAAAGTGACAGAAACATTACTGATATAAGCATAGATTTCATCAGGCATCTGCCATTCTCCTTATCTGAAAATATAATGCATCTTACAGAGAATTAATCACAAATCCCATCAAAGCAAGCTTCAAAAGTTTTGTTGATGTAGCTTTGTAGTTAACACATTGAAATGTTTGTTCAGATCAGAACTGGAATTATTACAGAGGCTGTTCCAATGAATTCCTTGTCTTTCTGGCTTAAAAGGTGGGACAGTGCAGTGGCTTCCAAATAGCATGTAGGGCAGTGCATAGGCTTCAGAGGAAAGCTTAAGATAAACCAGGTAGATTTAGTTGTCCTTTCACTGACATATATTTTATTGCTGAAGGTTCAGACTCTAAGCAGCATCCTTACTCTTGGCCTGTTGATTCTGGGTTGTGTTGCGTTGGTCTCTGAACTTCATCAAGTGCCAGTGCTGCATGCACTGCTACAGTTACCTCAAACGTGGATTCCAGTTATTCTCAGAGCCTTCCTGAAGGCCGTGTGCTAAAGAAGAACTTTAAGTTGTTTTAAATCTTTTTTGTGTTTTGTTTGTTCATAAAATAGAAATCCATACCCATTTTGTAGCCATTGAAAACATGTATATTGCTACTCCAGCCTTAGCATTACAGATTTAGTGAGCTCTTAGGTTTTTTCCCAGGAAGAACAAAAACCTCTAGTATTGTAAAATGTCTTAGTGCATGTGTTGTGTTTGATTCACAGAAGAGCTTTTAAAGTGATTTTTGGTATTAACTATAACTACTGCCATGCATGTTTGGGTTACAGAATGGAGATGGCAGCATCGACTTCAGAGAGTATGTAATTGGTTTGTCTATTCTTTGTAACCCAGCCAACACTGAGGAGACGATTCGGATGGCATTTAAGGTAAGTTCCATTTAGTGTAAATCTACAAACCTGACAAATCAAGACTGACTGTAAGTCTGTTAGCTTTCAAATCATAAGTTTATAGCTTCAATCTGTTATGCAAATGTGAGTAATTCTCTTAAACCAATTGACATTTAGAGTGTGAAAGGGAGGGGAAGAATTGCAGGCATCATAGAGAAGGGTTTCAAAAGCCATCTGAAGGCACTAATGAATATGTAACTTGGCAGGCTAACTCCAAAAATGATTCAGCAGCTCTTGTAGTTTTTTTTGCCTGAGGTTTTTTTCTGCTGTGATTCTTCAATGTCACAATAGATGGAGTAATACCCTCTTGTGGGTCAAGCTTCACTAGAGTCATTGTTCTCAACAAAGAGGAAGGAGAAAAAAATTCAAGGGCTGTTAGGACTGGCACATTGAAAACTGGGCTACATCTAAGAGCTGCTGGCTTGTCCTGTGGGCCCTGATAGTACAAGCAGTAAAGGAGCAGTAGCTCCTTTCACATCTCAGGTACATGCAGACAATATGTGACCAGGCATGCCCATGTTGTGAATCCTTGGCTCTTTTTTTAGTAGCTCTTTGACACAGATCCACTTGTTTTACCCATTAGTGTGGTCTTATTAACTCTTTTGAGAAATTAATTGGGATACCACTCATGTTCATTGTAAGCTTCCTAGTACTGATGCATACTTGGGAAGTACCACACAGTTTTTGGCAATCCATTATATCCACTGGCTTCTTTTCAGATAAGCATTAGAGCTTTTCAAGGTGATTTGTTAGTTTTTGGGGATGTTTTATCAGTATAGATTCCTATGAAGAAGCAAGTCTAGCAGCTATTGTTGCTGTTCCATTGTGTTGATCCCTACACTATAATGTTCAGTATGTTAACAGGTGTGCTGATAATAAAATTAATAAAATCAGTAATTTGTTTTAATTTCCAGTTTCAGCACAAAACAACTCATTTAGCTGGTAAAAGCCTGCTTCAGTCTAAAATGGAACTATGGGTTCCTTTTGCTGTTTGTTTTCTGTGCCACTAAATGTCTTTTCTTTCACAATGGCAAAGTGTGCCTGTAGCAAGTATTTAAGAATTACAGCCATCCATCCCTTGTATTTCTCCAGGGGTGATTCATAGCAGATGGTTTCTGTCACTGCACTGGGCAGGATGGGATGATCAATGTACATCAACTGCCTGCATTCCAGGAACCTGCATTCCAAATTCCTTGTTAATTACAATTAATTCCTTAGTGAGTGGTCAATCACATACACTAAAATTTAGGTATGTCAGAGCATAAACTATGAGCGCAAGTTTAATCTGACAGCAGATGTGCTATAACCTAATGAAAATGGAGACTAAAACCTAAGATGTTCCAGTAGAGACTGGCTGAATCCAGTAGACTCTTAGCATAGCTCATGGTGACAATAAACATACATCTTGGTTTATGTTTTATCAGTTTTGTATTATTTTTATCAGTGAACCAGCGCTGTGAGGTTTGTTTGTTTTGGCAGAATTCTATTCCCTGCTATAGCATGAACATTGCTCTGCAGAGTGTCTGCTTAGTCTTATTCCAGGCTCTTCAAATCCCAGGCATTGTTCACAGAGCTGCTGAGTGCTGGAAAGCCACAATGAGTGGCTGATGTGCACAGAGGGTTCATAAGCAAAGTGATGCCAAAGTATTTCTACACATTCTGTCTCTCCAGCTCTTTGACATGGATGAGGATGGCACTATAACAGAAGATGAGTTTTCTTGTATCATTCAGTCAGCACTGAGGCTGCCTGAGCTTGATGTTTCTGTGCTCTTTAAAGAAATAGATACAGATGAAACCGGGAAGCTCTCCTATGGTAAGTTAACGTCCTTTTGTTAGAAAGAATACTCTGATAGTCATATTGGCAGGGACTTCCCTTTTTTAATTCCCTCAAATTCCCTGATGGTTCTCATGCCTTGTTTCTGGGGAGAACTTTTGAAGCAAAGACCTAGATGCTTTGTATGATTCTCTTGGGTTTTCTTAGAGGGAACTAACTGGAGATCAGCTTCAGCGAAAGAAGCAGGCACTGCAGTTTTCTTTTATTCTGTTGCTGCACTACAGTATCTGTGTTTT